TTGTCTACCCGATTCCATGCTCCCTCCTCCTTGTGATGTAAGTGAACAACGGTATATCTGGTTGTCGTTGACGACAAACAGATGCGAGTTTTGTCATTCAAAAGATTCGTCGGCACAAATTTATTGGGTATTTCGTGTTAGATGCTGTACCCGATGTTTGGTTGAAAAAACTATAAGGTAAATGATAGTTCATTATTTATTAACTAGTCTTTCTTAAATATTAATTATTGAATTTATTCTAATTTCCATTTGTGCTGCTTTTAGTCAACAGAAATTATTAAAAGAAGGAAAAATCTCCAAAACGATAATGTCATGTCTCCCATACATACATCCGTGCGGCTATCGATTGTATTGGCACGCTGATATTCTCAAAGCACAACAAGAATTCGACAATCTAGCACCTAAAGAAATTGCATCATGGGTACTAAAAAAACACCAAATCGCTTATAAGATAACCCATGACGCAAAAATTCGTGAACACGCCTACAACCATCAACAATATCAAAATGGGGTAAACATCGGCCACCAAATCGATCATGACAATTGTACGCGACGCGCCGGAATGATGTTAAAAGAACTTGGTCAAGAATTGCTGTGCGATACCACAAATCTACAGAAATCATCCACTTATCGTGAGTGGGAGAAAGTTTTTGATCCGCATTGGGAAGAGATCATGTGGGAGAAATGGCGTGTCGCCATGAAAAAGGAGTGTATTAAGACGAATAATCTGAAAAAGGGGTTGAATATTAAGGTTCTTTCCGGATTGTTTAAAAAGTTTGCAAAACTTAGATAATATTATTATTTCATGTTTAATATTGTATATATAATTGAACTTTGTAAAAAATATGAATGTTATGTTACGTAAAATTTAATTGCATGAATTATATTAACGTATGCATGGCTTAATAATTTCACACTGCAAAATTTAACGAAATATTGATTACAATCAGTGATGCTTTTGTTAAAATAGCAAAAAATATATTATTAATAGGACAAAAAATATTTAATTTTTGGAAGAATAAATGTAATGTCTTCCCAGCAGGGTTCTTTAGGAAGAAAAAGTTTTGCGACTGCGCCTTCTAGTTCGCGGAATACAAGTACTTTTTATAGGAAATTTGGGTTTGGAGAGCGTTAGTAAAATTACAGAGATCATTATTATTTTCATTTTATTAGTGAGAGATCGAGGCTCAACAAGCAGAGGGGGTTCAGGTCGAAAACCAGTTAGATATCGTGCTGGTACGAAAGTGCTTC